AGGAAGGAAGGAAGGAAGGAAGGAAGGAAGATACACCCAAATATCTGGGAGAATCATTGCCAAAAATCAGAAGAAAAAAATGTATCACTTATATTGACCTTCATATTGTCAACAAATCCTACCCTCTAAGTACTGGTATTTAAAATTCTCATATAAAGCTATTACTTCACTTTTAGCTATTTACAAACTAGTAAGATGTTATTACCTGTGCTACACATTCTTGTAGATTAGAAGCTACTTGATTCTGCTCCTCCTTAAGTATTTTATATAGAATTGCACGACGTTCACTGTCCTTTCGTAGTAAGAAAAGGCCAGCATCTTTTTCCTCAAGGGAAGGGGGAGAACTTCGCTCATCTGGAACTGAGCTGTCATCAGGAACACTATGTGAGAAATGACAACATTCACAAGAAGATATAAATGACCACGTAATATTATGAATAAAACATGTCCTAACAGTTGAGTAGCTTATTTTATTGATTCACTTCTGAAAAATACACAACAAGAGATAAGTAACAAAATGAGACCGGTGATAACCCTCTGAGATGATTGTCAGGGTATTTTCCAGCACACCAGCAAACTCCCAACTGGCATAAAGATCAGGCCCCAAACTTCCTGATGGCAACTGAAATCAAACAAAACTTTGCCACCTTCGTGGAGATTCAGGCTGAAAAGTCAGCAAGTAAAAAAATATGTAATTCTAGATTCAGACCAGCCTGTACAAGGGAAATAGAAGCTCTGAGCACTAGTGCTGTGAAGGGGACAATAAAGTAAGAGATGCACAACTGATTCAATTGCGGCATCTGAGCTGCTACACATCAACATCAAAGGTAAGGAATTAAATCTTGTTCATGTGCACGCTTTTCTATGTGTAGCATGTTTGAATCACTTCAAACGAATGGATTAGATTACCACCATACTACTGCTTTACCATCCAAGGTTTATACTGTAGGGCTGACACAAAACTGACTTCGAAAATACCTACCACAACCAGGCAATTAATTAACAGTAAATTTTACCTTGGAGAGTTAGTTTGGTGTAGTGGTTTTAAGGCATCAGGCTAGAACCCGGGAGACCGTGAGTTCTAGTCCCACCTTAAGCACAAAGCCAGCTG